CCAAGATGCATTATGTAAAGGTACAATTCCCAATGAGAAATGTAATTGTATTGTATACCTACAATGTACCAATAAAAGAATTTAATACAAAAAAAAAGAGTGCTAATTAAATATAAACATGTTGTTCAATGATCACAATGGCTATAATTATTATATATAAGATTACAAAACAGAAACATTACTTACGATTGTATGGACATAGCCAGAAACATGGGGAAAGGATCTCTATTTTATTTATTTAATTTTTTTGGTACCAGGGATCGAACTCAGGTCCTTGTGCTTGCGCCGCAGGTGCCAAAACCACTGAGCTAAATCCTCAGCCAGGATCTCTATTTTAAACAGATTTCTTAAAGACAACTGGGGGCACAAAGAACATTCTAACCCATTCAGATCAAAAATACAGTTTTTATTTCCTGCAGAAATTCAAAGTTTGATTACCTGAGAGACTGCGCCACTATGTTTTCACATATTGTCAGACAATGATTCACACGGTCTTTCTTGGTGGCTGAGAGTTCCTTCTTTCTACAAATAAAAATAAAAGGAGGAAAAAAGTGAACATGTGTTGAGCTCTCCACTTCATTATTTCTACACTTCATTCTTTCATTCGTCCATTCGGTACTTCTTGACCACTACAAATGGACCGTTACACTCCAAGCTGGGTTGGGGGAGGGTCACGACAGGGAGGCAGAGAGGAGCTTCACCAGGTTCTGCCTAATGACAGTCATCCACAGAAAAATCAGGCCATGTCACAAAAGCATTCCTGTGCGACAAGGACTCATCCAAGATCACATAAACAGGATGGAGCAGGGCCAGCAGGGAACTCCTGGCTTTAAATCTAATGTGTACCTTACCAATTCAAGTTCCATTCACATTTTTCCCATGTTAATATTACTGAAACTGGAATACATCTTACAACCAATGGCACGTCATAGTTTAATTATCAGCCTTTGCCTTTCTCAGCAGTACAGAGATGATGGCATGGCTTACAATGGATGGGACACACCAAACTCAATGAGACCAACAATATGGTATCCGTTCTATATAACAAGCTGCCTCTGTTTCACAAAATCACACTGTCAGCTTACTACAGTCAGCACACCATACAGTCCTCGGTGAGGCGTATGCAGGAAGCTAACCATTTCTATATCCCCAAACAGCCAGAAATAAGCTTCTTACTGAGACTTCTCAGAGCAAAAGGAGATAAACAGCCTGGCCAAGAAATCAGACTAAAGCACTTCCTTCCCGCTTAAACCCATGGCTTCAAAAGTCTTCAAAGTCAGGTAAAGGACTGAAGTATGGTACAAGCTGATCCAAATCAGGGTACTACTAGAAACAATGAAACCAGAAGGTCACTGAGCTTTGGGGGGAATTCTTTTTTTTATTTTTTATTTTTTGGTACTGGGGATTGAACTCAGGACCTTGCAGGCGGTGGCACCACTGAGCTAAATCCCTAGCCCTGCTTTAGAGGGAATTCTAACTCTAAAGAAACTTAAAAACTAACTTACAAACACCTGTGCCTATTTAATTCTAGATATAATTCCAGGCTCCTGAAAGCACATGGAAAGGCACTGGCCACTAAAATTGTACAATTCCACGGCAGGTATACCCGATAGCCACTTCAGAGGTGGCCAGGGAGGAAAACAGCTAAGAAAGATCTCCCCAAGGGTAAGGTCAGGGGCCAAGAAGAGCAGAAAAGGGCTCCCAGCAGAGAAAGGACAGGGCCTGAATGTTCCCGCCAGTAAGGAACCAGCAGTCCTCTCACCAGGGATGTTGGCCACTCAGCTCTTTGCTAAGAGGGGCCTTTACTGACACACAGACTCTATCTCCCCTTCTTAGACGCATGAGCCAGTTGGAAGTTCCCTTGCCTCCTTGCAGCTAGCTGCAGACGTGACCAAGCCCACAGATGAAATGGGCACAGGAGTGGCACGTGGAATTCCTGCCTTGCTGCCCTGGGAAGTTCCTCTTTTATCTCCCCCCTCGCAGAACAAATACGCCTCGCTCCCAGCTTTTGATTTTGACAAGAAGACTGCAGGGCAATAGGACGGAAGGATCTTGGGTCCCTAAGTGGCCCTAAGAAGCCCAGGTCCCGAGGACGTCCCATCCTCATGAGGCACTCACTTTGAAGGTGCCATGCCGTAAACAAGCCAAACATCCTCCAGCTGGGGAAAGCTAAACAAAATGCAGCCAGACAATGAAAACTCCTTGGCCACCAAGAGGCAAGGCACAGATGGGGCACAGGACAAACCTCAGCACACGGTGTTTGGGGAAATAAGCTAGGCTCAAAGGCCACACTGGGTGATTCCATCTAGAACATTCTGGAACAGCTCTACCAGAACAGAAAAGAGGTCAGTCATTTCCAGGGCCAGGGAACTACCAGAGAGGTATGGGAAACTGCTGCTCTAAATCCTGATTACAGCAGTAGTTACAGGGTGTTAGGCACTGGCCCACACTCACAGAGCTGCACCCTAAAATGAGCATGTCTTACTTTATGTAAATTATACCTATTCTTAAGATCCTATGAGAAGAAAAATGCTCTCTTCTCTAAACTACTGTATTAAAGCCTCGGTTATCCCAGCTTAGGTTTTGCCACATTTAAGACAGCCACAGGGAGAACTAGAGATCACTGGCCCTGCTGAGCATTCTAGGCTGCAAACCAACCACACCTGCCTACTGCCCTGATCTCCAAAGCGAAAATCTGTCATAGCCCTGAATGACTTGAACTCACACGTGCATCACATGGTATCTAAAGGGACTCCTCAGAGGTGGTGATGAAAGGAAGGCTGACAAACAACTCGGTGGACCTTACCATGTAACAACGGCTACAATAGAAATACTCATGATTCGAGGCTTTCGGGAAAGTCAGGATCCCCTCAGAACCTGCAGACTGGAGCCTCTGTCTTCAGGCCCACAAGGTGTGGTTCCCAGCAAGTCCCTCAGCTCTCCAAATCTGACCTTTCCGACTACCACTGAAGGGGCGCAGCAGATTCAACATGGGAACAAGTGTCTTGTTTGTGGTGGGCCACTATGATGGATGTGTTGTGGCTGCCTGAGCAACAGGCCTCGTCTGTCTTCAAGAAAGAGTGCCGAGCTAATGGCTGGGGAAGGAGGCCTCCAAAGGAAGTGGTTCCCCGAGTCCCTCTGGAGTTTTCCAGGCGTGCACTGACCACCTTGTCAAAGTGCCAGTTATCTCTGTGGCTAAAAATGACTCCACCATAAGACTCCAATGTGACTACAGCTCAGGGAGCTGAGAGAGAGAGAGCAGACAGTTTCACACTATCTGCAGGCCTGAGGAACAGGCTGGGCCACCTTCCTACAGTTCATACAAACAGGAGCTTACAAATATGATGTCTCCCTTCACAAGGTCAGATAAACCCAGCATTAACCAATATGGGCCTCACTCTTGAAGCCTGCCCCCCTTGGGTTTATTTCATTAGACTGACTTATCTGACTATTAAAAACAGAACTTCACTCTCTTAACAAAATGACAAGGTGTTCTGTCCTTCTGGTCAGCTCCTTCCTAAGCAAACCCAGTGAAGCCTGTCTCACTCCCCAACAGCCCTTTGGGTAAGCGCTCCCTCTGACACCTCCTGGCCAGGACGTCATAGTCCCCACTCCACAGGTTCCACAATTATAGCGCCCACAAGGTGTGGAAAAGCTAATGCACCCCACAACTGACCCAAAGTTCTTGAACTGACTCACGGAATGAAGCCAGTCTTCTGAAGGTAAATGATGGAAGTTCTTCATTTAAAACTGAGTTCTGCCGGGCATGGTGGGCACACCTGTGATCCCCCAACTGGGGAGGCTGAGGCAGGAGGGCTGCTGCAAGTTCGAGGCCAGCCTGAGCTACACAGTGAGTTCAAGGCCAGCCTGGACTATACTGTGAGACCATGCCTCAAAAGACAAACAAACAAATAAAAACAAAAATAAATAAAACTGAGTTTTTAAAACTGAAAGATAAAAAACCAGAAGCTGTAAAGCTTCACAAAAGAAAACACTGCGGTCAGGAGTGGTGGTGCAATCTGTTATCCCAGCAGCCAGGAGGCTGAGGCAGGAATATCACAAGTTTGACCTCAGCCTAAGCTAAAACACAGAGTTCAAAGACTGCCTGGATTACATAAAAGGAGAGAGGGAGGGAGGGAAGGAAAGAAGGGGCAGGGAGGGAGGGAAAGGAAAAAGACAAGACTGAAGCCATCCCAAATGTCCTTGAACACAAATGCTGCAGACTGGGGGAACCCCTCCCTCTGCAAGACAAGTAGTCCTTGTTTGTTTCTTTGTGCTGGGGATGGAGCCCAGAGCCTTCTCACTGAGTCCATCTCCATTCCTTTTTTTTTTTTTTTTAGACAAGGGCTGGCAAGTCACTAAGTTGCCCAGGCTGAGCTCAAATTTGTGATCCTCATGCCTCAGCTTACCACAGTGCTGGAGCCACAGGCACACATCATAATGCTCAGCTCTCTCAGTCTTACTCCCTACCGAGACTCTGCTATAAAAAAGAGGAGACCACCCAGGGTCGCCCATCTATAATCCCAGCTACTCAGAGGCTGAAGCTGAGGGATTGGAAGTTTCAGACCAGCCTGCACAATTTAGTGAAATCTTGCCTCAAAATAAAATCAGAAAGAACTGGAGGTTTAGGGCCAGGGATTTAGCTCAGTAGTTCCAGCACCTGCCTCACAAGCGCAAGGTCCCAAGTTCGATCCCCGGTACCAAAAAACCCAAAAAAAACAACAAAAAAGAACTGGAGGTATAATTCAGAGGTAAAGCTTTCACCTAGCATTCACCCTGAGTTCAATCTCCGGTATCACAAAGAAAAGAGAGAAGGCGCAGACCTTCTATCACAATCAGCTAAAAAAATCACACATTTTTCAAGGTTCTCTTCTTACTCTATCCTGAATCATTTTCCAGCAATCCAAACCCTTTTGAGGGAAAAAAAAAAATAAATAAATAAATATATTTACACATAATATACGTGGTAGCTTGGTTAAAGAACTTAATTGTTTTGTGATTTGGGGGAAAATGGCTGCATTTGTGTTTGTGTGGGGAAGGGGGTGAGGGGGTCAGTGGTTATGTTTGTCACCTGATGTGGAGTTTGGGGAAGGAAAATTTTGCCAAATGCTTTTGTTTGCGAACCAAATCGTTTGCAAACAGAAGCATTTCTAAACCAAGGTATTACTATACTTAAATTTGAATCCTTCCCACACTCAATAGTCATTTAATCATAAAATTCTGTAGGCAGATAATCTCCAGTGGTTGTGAGTCTTATGATTCAAAGAATAATTACATACAGTAGTTATTTTGTCTGAGAAGCATAGAAGCAAACCACCTACTTGCTACCAAAGCACTTATTTTGCTCCATTTTTCTTAAATACACCACGTGGATAAACATATATATAATCTAATACATGATACCTTATAACAACTCCACAATTTTTATTAAACTTAAACTTTCCAAAATACCAGTTTAAAGCTGGGCATGCTACACACCTGTAACCCCAGCACTCGGGAGGCTGAGACAGGAGGATCACTGC